CGTGTGCAAGCCTTGGGGGGGTGGGCTGGAGGGTCAAAGGTCTCTGGATTTGGACAGGTATGCATTGTTGGGGGCAAAAACTGACGTCCTTTGAGGGGTCTTGCATATGGCCCAGAGCCTTGGGGGGGTGGGCTGGAGGATCAAAGGTCTCTGGATTTGGACAGGTAAGGCGTCGAGACAGACTGGCTGCGGGTGCGAAAAAACAGTGCGTGAAAGCTAGCGCTTCATGGAAGCAGGAAATTAGTCGAGATGGTTCATTTTTGTCGTAGATTGGCGTATGTCAGTCGGCGCGTGAAATTCTTTTCTTGTTGGCGCTTGCGCGCCCTCTCGCAGGATACAGTTGCCATGATTATGAGAAGCCACTAGCCCCAAGCATTCCTGACGCCTAAAGCCCATCACCAGATTCTGAACCTTAGATCCCAAGCCCTAAGTATCAAATCCCTAGTTGGCGAGACTTCAACGAAACCCTAGACCCTAAACCCCTAAACCGCTAAACCCTACACCCCTGAACCCAAGCTCCAACAGGAGGACATCTGGTCGTCCAGTGAGCGACGATGGCGCTTTCAGGAGCGGCAGGCACCATGACGGGGTTTTGGTGTGGACCCTGTCGGTTTCTGGCTTACTGTCTTGGGGCAGTTCAGGGGTTTAGGGTCTGTGCCGAAGGCCTTCGGCCACAGCTGTAGTACTCGTAGCAAGTCAGCGCTTAGACAGGGACTACCTTAGAAGTGGGGTGCAGATATTCGGAGAGGATCCCGTAGAAGGGATAAACATGGACTAGCAATATTGGGAAGCCGCCATATCGGCATCTCAGATATTTGAGCTACAGTCTAGATTCCTTAGAGGGGCTTTATGTAGAGGATTATATAGGGGAGTATGGAAGGGGTTCTCAAGGGGGATGCTAGGAGTTTAGACTCCAAACCCTAAATTCTAAACCCTAGAGTTATGAAGGGGGGGGATGCTGGGAGTTGAGAATATAGCTCATTTGGACTCATGTAGTAAAAGGCCGGATATGGGGTTAAGGCTCGGCCTTTGCGAGTTGGGTAAAATGGTGGAAGGTCGGGTCGGATTCCGGTCATATTATTACTAGTACTACTGATACTATTATGAATATTACCTATTATTATATTAATATCATTATCACTACTACTATTACTATCATGTCTATTGTGTCACGAAAATGGTTCAAGTCTATGGCATTCAGCTCTTCTCTCCTCTACATCACTTGAATTGCCAAGGGTACTGAAAGCCGTTGCACATGCAGTCTTCGTCGGCAGCGGAAGATGTAGAACATTGCAGTTTGAGGTCAGCCCGCCGAACGCAGGCCGCGGAGACCGCCTTATGCCTTCACATTCGTTTGCTTTGATGTGTTTTTTGTTGCTCTGTCTGTGGTCGATTGCTCATCAGATTATGTGGAGCCTGTTCTGCCCATCTGACGACTTTTGCGCCGGGACCGCGTTGCCGTGATCCTCGGCACGCAGTGGTTTTTGTGCAGTAGCCAGTAGGTGGGGCTGCTAACTGAGACCCAGCCCTGAACCCCAGGAATTCCCCTGGAAGTTGGAAGCACGAGATTTGAAAGTTCAGAACCCCTGAGCCCTAAAAACCCTAATGCTCTCAGGAAGAAAAAGTCGGAGAAGTCTGACCTAGCCTGCAACATCCGGCACCATCCGGCATCGAGCGACCCAAAGTGGTTGCTGCAGAGCTTTCGGGTTCAAGGTTTAAGGTGCAGGTGTCTTACCCGACCGCCTGGCATCACACTCACACACCGAAGACAACGCCGACGGGAGAAAACAAGCCTCCTCACTTGACTGCATCAGCAGAAGCAGTGCAGGAGTGGACCCTGAACGAAGTTTTCCTTTCTCAGCACAGGTTGGCGGCTACGATTCGCGCGAGCCTGCCAAGCTTGTCGATGGCCCCTACATGGTTCTGCAGGCAGATCATGTGTTGGCATGACAGTGCATGAGCTGGTGCACGTCTGCACATGGGCAATATGTTGTTTACAAGCGATAAGGGCAATGCCTTGAGTTTGCAATAGTTTGCTCAGCGCAGGTTCTAAGCACTTGGAACTTCGATGTTCTGGGCCACGAGCTCAATGTCTCCGACATCAAAGCCCTGGACTCGTGCGCCCAAATTTCTCTTTCCCATGTGAGGAAGTAGGTTTGGCTGGCTGTGATCCCCTTTTGCTGTCTGGTGGCAGAGCTCCATGCTGACTCACTTCCCGTAAATGGGGTGTTTGCATCATGCAGGTATATGAAGTGACCCGGCTGCAAGAACAGCAGAAGTCTATGCTTGTGGCTTTTCTTCCAAGCATGCACAAGTCTTTCCCAGCGGTGGATGGGCAAACAGGTCCAGATTGAACTATTTGCATGCAGGACATTCTTAACAATCCTTCAGCATTTATCCTTGATGCCTCACCCCTGAATTCCCGTTCCCAGGCGTTGAAACCTCGACCCTGACAAGCGGAGTTAAGCGTTCCATCACCACGGCTTCTAGGACTTGAAGCACAGATATCCGCACTGTGACGCACTTCTTATTCCATCCATAGCTAAGGGCACCATTCTGAACGCTGAGCCCCGAAGCTGAAAACCATAAGCTCCTAAGCATCGCTGTTGCCATAAAATGGAACATGGAAACCCAGTTTCCGCTGCACTTTCCATGTATCTTTTTCATTCAATTCTCCATCATTGATAATCTATCCAAACCTCATACCTGAACCCTTAAGCCCTACAACCTAGTAGTGGTTGCCATGTCATTCTCCATTGGATTCGAAATATCCCTAAACCTCATACAACCCTCATATACCCCACACATGTCCCCTGTATAGTCTCTATCATCCGTATGTGTATGTTCATTCAACCCAGACCCTACACCTTAAACCCTCAATCCTAAATCCTGAACCTTATATCTGCCTTCAACCTAGCCCCTAAACCCTAAATTCTAGACCCGAAACCCTAGACCCCAAACCTGAAACCTTAAACCCTAAGCCCCATGGGTCCTAAACCCGAAACCGTAAATAGTGGTTTCCATTTTTTCCATTATCCACATATAACCCCAATGCAACCCCTATAAACCCCTTTAAAGGGCACCGCCTAACCTTACCTATACAATCCCAGTTTCCATTGCATTTCCCCTTCTCTTTTCCAATTGATTCTCCATTATAACCCCAATATACTAACATTTAGGCCCTTAAACCCTAACCCCTATACTTCCTAAACCCTACACCCCAAATAGTAGTTTCCATTTTATTTTCCATTATCCTTATATAACTCCAATATATACCCTATCAGACCTATATAACCCATTATGGTAGTTTTCATTTTCTGTTCCATTCTCCCTATATAAACCAAATATACCACAGTAGTTTCCATTTTACTTTCCCCTATCCCAATATAGCCACTAAACCCTAAACCCTAAACCTTACATAACCCTATTATAGTAGTTTCCATTTTATTTTCCTCTATCCCCATATAACCCCTAAACCCTAAACCCTAAAGAACCCCAGAATAGTAGTTTCCACTTCATTTTCCACTATCCCCATATAGCCCCTGAACCCTAAACCTTATACAACCTTTTTATAGTAGTTTCCATTTTATTTTCCATTATCCTTATATAACCCCTAGATATACCTAAATATCCCTATATAGCCCCTTATAGTGGTTTCCATTTTCTGTTCCATTCTCCCTATATAAACCCAATATACCATAGTAGTTTCCTTTTTATTTTCCACTATCCCTAATTAATTAGAGTAATTTCGTAGAGTTCTCAGGCGCTGCAAGCTTGGACCCTTCAGATTGGGCAGAGCCCTTGAGCTTCTCAGCGACCCCAGCCACGAGGCTCTTGGGTACATATTTGTATATATGCATATAGATATTAGGGTTTAGGGTTTAGGGTTCAGGGTTTAGGGTTGAGGGTTCAGGGTTTAGGTTTTAGCGTTTGGGGTTGAGGGTTTAGGGTTTAGGGTTTGCGGTTCAGGGTAGGGTTTTTTTTCCTAGAATTAGGGGTACCTTTTAGGGGTCCCCATGATAAGGATTATAGTATATTGGGGTCCCGTAATGTTCGGAAGCTACCACATACAAACTAGGGCACTATGGCTTTGGGTTTAGGGTATATATGATCATATATTGGGGTTGTGGTTGAGGATTTCTGGATAGTCCCGCGCAATAATGGAGAATCAACTGGAAAAGAACATGGAGAATGAATTGGAACTGAGATTATATAGAGGTTTATAGGGAGTAGGTTTCCAGAAATTACCTCCCTTTGGCACCATACTAGGCATTATAGTGCATTATGAGCATACTAGATGTACAGTTTGTATGGTGGTTCATTGGGGATCCATCTCGTAAACATTACCCCATTTCTTTTCCTGTACCATACTGAGGGTAGTTTCTATTAGGGGATGTTCTGTTTTCTTTTTCGGTGGAGGGGAGTCTTATCGCTTACATTGTGTTTTTTGCTTCTTCCTGCTCCGCTGCCGTGTCAGTCATGGATTCACAAAGGGCCACCCTTTTTCTAGACCCGATCTGTTTCTTTTCTAGACTGCTTAACGTGGTGGCCTGATTAGTGGGGGGCCCCCCCCAAACGAATAGGGGGGCCCTTATAGTG